GTCTGTACATGACTAAGTCTCTAACCAACAAGCTGCATCTCAAGCAACGGTTGTTCAGCTTGAGGATGCAAGAAGGTACGCCTTTGAGGGAACATCTCGAACAACTTAACTCTATTTTGCTGGATCTGCGTAATATAGATGTTCAAGTTGATGACGAGGATGCTGCCCTAATCCTGCTGGTTTCTTTGCCGAGTTCATATGAGAATTTTGTTGATTCTTTTATTGCTGGTAAAGAAAGCGTGTCGTTGGAGGATGTCAGGTCTGCTCTTCATACGAGAGAGATCAGACATAAGGCGTCCGGATCTGGTACAGGTGGTGAGGCATCGGGTTTGGCTGTTACAGGTGGAAAGGGAAAGAAGAAATCTGGAAAAGGGAATTCGAGCAAGAATTCCAAGGGTCCCGGTCCACAGCCAGGTGATGCGTGTCACAACTGTAAGGAAGTGGGGCATTGGAAGTACAACTGTCCCAAGAGAAGAGGGCAACAGAATAAACAAGGTTCAGTTGCCGTGGCAGAAGTGGACAACAGTTCTGAAGACGATCTCGCCTTGGCTGTAGATGAGAAGGCACATCGTGGTGATGTGTGGTTTCTGGATACTGCAGCCTCATACCATATGTCTCCGAACAGGGATTGTTTCACAACCTACGAGCAGATAGATGGTGGTAACGTGGTCATGGCTAATGGAGCTGTCTGCAAGGTTGTTGGAATCGGGTCCATAAAGGTTCGGACACATGATGGTTCGTTCTGTACCGTGAATGATGTCAGGCATGTTCCACGAATGACAAAGAACCTGATCTCCTTGAGTCTACTCGACAGCAAGGGTTTCAGCTTCAAAGGAAAAGGTGGAGTTGTGTATGTCTGCAAAGATTCAAGGAAGGTACTGAAGGGCGTGAAGCGTGGGACCTTGTATGCATTACAAGGGTCTGTGTTGTCTGGTTCTGCTGCAGTTGCATCGTCTCAGGTTCAACAGGAAGATATGACCACTCTCTGGCACATGAGATTGGGGCATATGAGTGAACGGGGGATGCAAGTTCTATCGAAGAGGGATCTTCTTTGCGGGCACAAGGTGCAGAATTTGGAATTCTGCGAGCATTGTGTGTTTGGGAAGCTACATCGCAGCAAGTTTCCCAAGAAGGGTATCCACCGGACGAAGGGGATACTGGATTACCTCCACTCCGACTGTTGGGGTCCTTCACGAGTTGAATCCATTGGAGGCAGCAGGTATTTTCTGTCTATTATCGATGATTATTCGAGATTTACTTGGATTTTCATGATGAAGCAGAAAAGTGAGGCTTTCACGAAGTTCAAGCAGTGGAAGACATTGGTGGAGAATCAAACCGGGAAGAAGATCAAGAAGCTGCGAACGGACAATGGTCTGGAGTTCTGCAGTTCTGAGTTCAACGAATTCTGCAAGGATGAAGGGATTGCCCGTCATCGAACTGTTAGAGATACACCCCAGCAGAATGGCGTTGCAGAAAGGATGAATCAGACATTGTTGGAGAGAGCACGGTGCATGCTCTCTAATGCTGGACTAGAGAGAAGATTCTGGGCAGAAGCAGTAAACATGGCGTGCTTCCTGATCAACCGTGGACCACACACAGGTATCGAGTGTAAGACTCCTTATGAAGTGTGGTATGGTAAGCCTGCTGATTACTCTTCACTGAAAGTTTTTGGGTGTCCTGTTTATTATCATGTGGATGAGGGTAAACTGAACCCAAGGGCAAAGAAGGGTGTATTTGTGGGTTACGGAGATGGAGTTAAGGGATTTCGAGTCTGGTCACCTTCTGAGCATCGAGTTATACTTAGTAGAAATGTGATATTTGATGAGAAGTCTATGTTTAACCCCATGTTGAAGGTCACTGTTGTTGAAGGTAGCAGGAATGTTGATAAGCAGGTGGAGCTGCAAACTCTCAATGAGAGTGAGTTTGAGCACCAAGGTGGAGAAGATCAACATGATGAGGATGTCTCTGCAGAGCCAGAAACTTCAGAGTCCAGTGCACGAGCTCAACAGTCTATTACTTCCGGTAGACCAAAGAGAGCGACTGCAGGAGTACCTCCACAGAGGTATGGCTTCGAGGACATGGTGGCGTATTCATTTCAGGTTGCTGAGGAAGTGGATGCAGGAGAGCCACAGTCCTATAGAGAAGCAGTTTCGGGTGGTGAAGCCGATCAGTGGCTTGCCGCAATGGGAGATGAGATGGAATCCCATGACAGGAATCAGACTTGGGAGCTAGTCAAACGACCACAGGGAAGGAAGATTGTTACAAACAAGTGGATCTACAAGAAGAAGGAAGGAATCACTTCTAAAGAGGGCATGAAATTTAAAGCTCGGGTGGTTGCACGAGGCTTCTCGCAGAGGGAAGGAGTTGACTACAATGAGATTTTCTCACCAGTTGTCAGGCATACTTCGATCAGAGTGCTACTAGCAATAGTGGCACATTATGACTTGGAGCTTGAGCAGCTAGACGTAAGACAGCTTTCCTGCATGGGGAGTTGGAGGAAGAAATTTACATGACTCAGCCAGAAGGATTCGAGGTTCCAGGAAAAGAAGACTATGTTTGTAAGCTGAAGAAGTCCTTGTATGGACTTAAGCAATCTCCGAGGCAGTGGTACAAGAGATTTGACAGCTACATGCTTGAGCTGGGCTACAACAGAAGTCCATATGATTGTTGTGTATATCACAGCAAGGCAGAAGATGGTTCGATGATATATCTAGTTCTGTATGTGGATGATATGCTCATAGCTGCGAGGTCAAAGTCTGATATCCAGAAGTTAAAGGGGCTTCTCAGTGCTGAGTTTGAGATGAAGGATTTGGGAGCTGCTCAGAAGATCTTGGGTATGGAGATTTACAGGGACAGGTCGAAGAAGAAGCTTTTCTTGTCACAGAAGAGCTACATCCAGAAGATATTGTCTAGGTTTGGCATGTCTTCAGCAAAGCCCTTAAATACTCCTAGTGCTTCAAATGTTCATCTATCCTCAGCCTATGCACCGCAGTCAGAGGCTGAGAAGGAGTACATGTCGAGAGTCCCATATGCTAGTGCAGTAGGTAGCTTGATGTACGCTATGGTATGCACTAGACCTGATCTTGCACATGCTGTTAGTGTTGTCAGCAGGTTTATGATACAACCTAGGAAGGAGCATTGGCAGGCTGTGAAGAGGATCTTCCGGTACCTTAAGGGTACACCTGATGTGGGGATTAGCTTCGGAAGTGATACAGAGTGCTTGGTGTCTGGGTATTCTGACTCGGACTATGCTGGAGATGTTGACACGAGGAGATCGATGACCGGTTATGTATTCACTCTTGGGAGTTCTGTAGTGAGCTGGAAGGCAACTCTGCAGTCGGCGGTGACATTGTCTACTACTGAGGAAGAGTATATGGCGTTGACAGAAGCTGCTAAGGAGGGAATATGGTTGAAGGGACTGGTTGGTGATCTGGGTCTACATCATGATCAGGCAGTGGTGTATTGCGACAGTTTGAGTGCAATATGCTTGGCCAAGGATCAAGTCCACCATGAGAGGACTAAGCACATCGATGTGAGGTATCATTTCTTGAGGACAGAGAAGAGGATTAAGGTGAAGAAGGTTGGCACCGCGGATAATCCTGCTGATATGTTCACGAAGCCGGTTCCACATGGCAAGTTCCAACACTGCTTGGACTTGCTGAATGTCTTGAGTGGGTGACTCCGCCCTACGGGGCATTGATGGCGGGAGAGAGAGAGAAGGAGCAGAGTACATCAGAGATTTTAGAGGAAGAGGATTCAAGTCAAGGTGGATATTTGTTGATATGACTTGAATCGGATTATCAGCCGCTACGACTGGTAATCGGGGGTCTCGCTGTAACCGTTTCCACGGTGTATGAGCTCAATGTTATTTGGGTTCGGGTTCTGGGCCTGGTCTGTAACCGTTTCCTTTGCTAGATTGGATTAGGTTTAGACCCACATGGAGAAGTACTATAAATACTTCTCATACTCCTCTGTAATCTGTAATCTCCTCAGATATAGTGAAACTGGCTCTCTCTCGCCCGTGGACTAGCTAACACACATCGTGTTAGTGAACCACGTAAATCGTGTGTCTGTGTCTTTCGATTCTCGCTCTCGTATTCTTGCTTTGTCGATTCCGGCGATTTCCCGATCCGTAGCAGCGCGTTTATAACAGGAAGATCAATTCTCTCTACAAGATATTGGTTTATATACCAGCCGCGTGAAATCATCTCTCGATATATATGAGCGATATATACTCAAATATTTGAACATGTAATTAGTTAGGTTGTATATATAATGATCAAATTTAAAAAGTTGTTATTTATGTTCTATAGAGTATAGAATGAACTTCAAAATAATTCCTGCTTATGCCTTATAGTCACATCAATCCGCATTCAATATAATTTGTACAGTATTCTTTATAATTTTACTTCATTACTAACTAACCTTTGCATCATATTATATAAATATCCTATATTTTACGAACAAGGGATTGGTCTAGTGGTAATACCACTAGACATGAACATGGAGGTCTCAGGTTCGAGTCCCTTTAGTAGTACCTAATAACAAAAAAAGTAACATATATCAACCTTATCTAAAAAAAAATCCTATATTTTAGCTGGGGTTTATAATTGTAATATATCAAAGATGCAATCTAGGATGACAATGGGACGGCGCTAAATTATCCCTTCATAGTCGTCACATACCCATGCGGGAAAGTTTTTCATTCCATTCTCATGCACACGGTTTTCGATTACCCATGAGTAATACCCGCCTCATACATTTAACAGTATTATATATAAAATTAAACCTATAGATATTTAATTTCACTAAGCGAACCTAATAAATTATGAAATCAACAACCATTTTAATACGAATTTAACGCATTCAATCCCAAAACAACGATTAATCTATAATAAAAACCGCAATATAACTACAACAATCCGTGCGCATATTCAAATTTTGGTGCGTACCATTTTGCGGCATTAATTTAAAAATATAAATCCATTTAAATGCTTCACTTACTCGCCACCGTCAGCCGGCACCATCCATCCGGAGATGTGAACGATCCAAGCAAGCGCCTGAAGCCAGCCATCGACTCTGTCGTAAGTAAACCTGCTCTTATGCTGATCCAAGTCCTCCTTGTAGCAGCCTCCACCGCTGAAGACCTCCTCCGGCGACAGATGGTAGAAGACCGGGATAGCCACGTGGCGGCGGCTGACCGCAGCAGTACTACTACAACACCTCGTGATGGTGACGAGCTCGTCCAAGCACCATTCCGACGAGGCGTAGTTCCGGGACAGAACCACGAGGGAGAGCCTCGACTGCCCGATCGCACGTGGGATCGCTTCCTTCAGATTCTCCCCGCGCGGCAAGTCGCGGCGGTCGGAGAACGACCTGACCCCTTTTCTGCGGAGGGCCGCGCGGAGATGAGACACGAAGGTGTGTCGGACGTCGGAGCCCCTGAAGCTTATGAACACGTCGTGGGGCCGCCGATCGTTGCTGCTGCCGCTACCGGAAGGGAACTCGTCAATTTTGCGGTTCGTCTGTTGCATATATCAGTCTCTGCAGATATCATGTGGAAAGAGTTTGTTTGATGAAAATGGAACTCTAGTGAGTTGAGTGTTTCCCGTTCGTTCTTTTGTTTTAAATAGCAAAAATAGCAAAACTTGGCCAACAAGAGAAGATGGGCAAGCGCATGCATTTGCAGAATAACAACTAGAAAGATAAAATACAATAACTCAAACTAAAGTCTAAAGCTAGCTAATTAAACATTAACAAAACTAAACATGACAATTGGTAACTTTATCTACACCACTTAACTTTTTCTTAATTTTTAGTATCGGGAGTTCGAGTCTTGATAATGACTTCCAATATCTCCTATTAGACCTAAACATTAACGACGTGTACGTCATGGCCCATGGGTAATGTAAAATGGAAGAAAGGAAACCTTTTTTGACAAACATTGTTTCTGGCTGCCGGCCTGCTGGCCAATTATTATTTGTTTGTCTTTTCCATTGGTTTGTTGAACTGGGCGAATACATGCAACGGTATTCATGAGCAACCTTTCAATCAGGATAAGAGTCAACTTTTTGTTCCAAACCCAAAGCCCAGGGCTATACATTAATGAGGTGTGTAGTGAACACTTAATTGACTTGCAATCTGACAAGCTTATTACATACGAAAGATAGAAACAACGTTTGACTTTTTATTATATGGATGGATCTCAAACAGGGGCGGAGCTATGTTGGTGGTTAGGGGGGCCCCGGCCCCCCCGAGAATTTTGAAAATCGCGTATAAGTACAGCGAGAATTTTGAAATTACGTATTAATTAAGCTATATATATAAATACTATAATTGTGCAGTAACATGTAATTATGTTTCCATAGTCTAATGGAAAAGTGGTGATCTTTTAAGTCAGTGGACGTGGGTTCAATACACCACACATCAAGATATTTTACTGTTTTTTGGCCTTACCCCTTTTTTTTCCCAATGTCTTAAGTAAATTAAGTTCATCAACTTCTGCATTATAATAAATGATGATTATTATAATAACATTATAGAAAATGGTACACATAAAAAAATGATGATTATTTTTTGTTGACAATTTATTTACTAATGTTGAACATATCTTGCCCAATTTTTAATTCAAATCATAGTTTTAGTGCTAATAATTATCTTAAATAACAATTTGAAAGGTAACATTTATATTGTTTTTCTAATTTTATGATAAAACGTACTAAAAAAATTCGGCCCCCCCGAACTTTAAATCCTAGCTCCGCCCCTGATCTCAAAGTATTTCTCCAATAACTACAATTAATATCTTTGCTCCTCGTGCTTTTTAGTTTTTACAATACTCGGATTCATGTTCTTCCTTATGACGCCCGCCGGCGGAACTCTCTCGGTACCGGAGCAGGGCTCTCGCTCCTTCTGTCTGATGGTTTTAGCAATTCTCTTCACAAGTCGCGCTTCAGACCTGTACAAAATCAAGAAAACTTTTAGTAAGATCCATGTGAATCTATAAATTATCAAGATACTGATCAGTTCGGAGAAATTAATTTGCGGCACAAAATCAATCTCTCAATATAGGCATACACGGACGGCCAAATGTATGCTAGCCTTTGTCATATATGTATGGGCATTAGTAATTAAGTTGTAGGATATTTTATAATAATCTTAGGATTAAATTATAAATTATGATAATTTGCTTTACAGGATCAAATTCATATAATCAAACAAATATTTTCGTGGCGTACTACGTACATCGATCCTATTACAGATCATGGTAGGTACTGGAATTGTGTGTCGTATTATATAAACAGCCCACATTTCTCTTAGGTCGTTTGCATGACATTTAAATGCAGACATTTGAGAATGTATTGTTTGTTTAAAAGTTGTTAGAATGTAGCCCACAACTTCAAGTTGTACCATAATAGAAAGGTATAATTTTAGTTTGTATCATAAAGAGATTTATACAAAAGAGTATAGGTACAATCTGAACTTGTACCATAAAATAAAATAAAAAAACTAAAACACCAATGCTTTAAACCATTGTAAAATCCCCCTTGCTATTACATTTAATATGCTTTTTTTTTTCTATGCTAAAACTAACCGCGTAAATAAAATCATTTTGCAAACAACAAAATATATTATTTGGGTAAGAGCCATGTATAATATTATTTTCTCATTTTATAATATTTGGGTACGAGATGGATGACGCTCTTCGTCGATTGTCAAATTTGAGGAAAGAAAAAAATTCGCGAGAAGATGAAGCAATAATAGGGAAAATAAATAATATAAATCGTTTGGATGGGTTATTGTTATGAGTTATTTGGTACCAAATAACCCGTTTGTGTGCAAAAATTCGTGATGGGTTATTTGTACCGAGTTATTCTGAAATAACTCAATAATGAGTTATTGAGAATACCACATGAGGGGTTGTTATATAATCTGAAATAACTCACAAATACCACAGAATCATTATGTGAGTTGTTTCATCCTATAATAACTCACTAGTTGGTGCCCTATCTATTGGCCAGAATAGTTTTTGTCACCGTGCATATAGTGCTTAGGTTTAGTTTGGCCTTGCTATACCTTTTGCAGAAGCTGCTTCTGGCTGGAGCTCTTAGAGAAGTACTTTTAAAAAAAACAGTTGAGTGTTTGGCTAAAAACTTATTATAAGTGCTTTTAATATGAGAGGTTGTGTAAAATGACTAAAGGAATTATAATATAAACTATGAATAAAAATTCTAAACAACAAAAAGTAATAAAAATGGATCTTGTTAGATTTATTTTATATTAAATAATATGATTTTATAATTTATTTTATTTTTAAAATATTATAATTGAAATTAAATTATATTTCTAAAATAAACTAAAATTTGGTAAGGATAATCTTGTACTTTCAAAACAATTTTTTGCATAACCTCCAAATCGAAATTTCTGCTTTTATGTTATACAAAAACACTTTTTGGCTTTTCAAAAATCGAGCTTTTAGATGTGTTTGGTCATGCTTCAGCTTTTGAAGCCGAAAAGCACTTCTTAAAATTGGGCCAAACATAGGTTTTATGTAATCCAACCTTTTAGAGGTGTTTGACATTACTTCACCTTTTAAGTCAAAAAGCACTTTTAAAAGACGAACCAAATATAGGCTTAGTTTAGTATTATCACTTAAATTGATTTTGAGTTGATTTACTATATCTTTGGCTTTTTCGTAACATCCTTAATGTTGTCAATTACTTAGTATTATATGCATATCATTCTTGGTAAACATTCTCGATGTTGTCAATTACTTAGTATTATATGCATATCATTCTTGGTAAACATTCTCGATGTTTTTGAAAAATAACTACAATAAATATAATCCTAATAATTAAATGATCTCAAAATGAAAAAATTGATATAAAATTTTATTAGTGAATGAATTTTCAATTCAAATCATGTGTACTTTAGAATGAATAATAATTGTAAAAGGTTAGATTACAAAGTGATTCCTTACATAATTTCATCCAAATACATTTAAAATGAAAATCTTATTTATATCATATTGTATATAATTTTGCATTGAACCATATTTTGGTTTATCAGCCACAAAAAAAAAATTTGGGCTATACCAAGGGTGCCTCCGGGAACACCAAAAAGGTGGTACTGGAATTCGAACCTGTGACCTTTCATTCTTGGTAAACATTCTCGATGTTTTTGAAAAATAACTACAATAAATATAATCCTAATAATTAAATGATCTCAAAATGAAAAAATTGATATAAAATTTTATTAGTGAATGAATTTTCAATTCAAATCATGTGTAATTTAGAATGAATAATAATTGTAAAAGGTTAGATTACAAAGTGATTCCTTACATAATTTCATCCAAATACATTTTAAAATGAAAATCTTATTTATATCATATTGTATATATTTTTGCATTGAACCATATTTTGGTTTATCAGCCACAAAAAAAAAAAAAAAATTTTGGGCTATACCAAGGGTGCCTCCCGGAACACCAAAAAGGTGGTACTGAAATTCGAACTTGTGACCTTTCACATCCCAAACCCGAAACCCAAGGCTTTTACCAATTAGCTAGGTCATGTTACCATCGGCAAATAGTTAGTTAACTTTTGATACCAAATAACTCGGACAAATTACAAACGATTCCAGGAAGAAAGGAAAAAGCCACGTAGTCAGATTTGGAGCGTAAACATGAACTTGCGGCATGCATGCACTAACAAATTCATTAAACTAAATCAAAATGCTTAATTCACGTACCGGCCAGCAGCGGGAACGACCCAACCGGCGACACCGGCGACCCAAGCCAGCGCCCGAATCCAGCCGTCGACTCTCTCGTAAGTAAAATCACGCTTGTGCCGATCCAGGTCCTCCTTGTAGCAGCCGGAGACGACATCGTTCGGAGACAGATGGTAGAAGATCGGGATGGCCACGTGGCCGGCGCGGCTGCAACAGCTCATAATGGTGACGAGCTCGTCCAAGCACCATTCCGACGAGGCGTAGTTCCGGGACAGAACCACCACCGAGACCCTCGACCGCTGGATCGCGCGTGGGATCGCTTCCGTCAAATTCTGGCCACGTGGCAGGTCGCGGCGGTCGGAGAACGACCTGAGGCCTTCTCTGCGGAGCGCGGCGCGCAGATGACCTGCGAATGTGTTCCGCACGTCGGAACCCCTAAAGCTTATGAACACGTCGTGCCGCCGCCGCTTGCGAAAATGGTGCCTGCCGCCGCCGCCGCCGGTAAGTGACTCGTGATATTTGTGGTTTTGCTGCCGCATGTCATGAAGGGGCAGGACAGCTAGCTAGTGCTATAGCCTATAGGCTAAGCTAACTTTAATTATATATAGTAGTGACTGAAAGATAAACTGCCCGCCAGCAAGCTGCAGGCTGCAACTATATTTATAAATCCATCGATCGACTTTCTTTGAACACGGAAAGTCAAAGAAGCACTAAAAAAAAAAAGAGTAGCGGGGACAGCAATCACACACTCTCAGCAGAGAAGAAAACCTGGGTCCCGGGACCCACCTATGGGAGGAGGCTCCTTGTGTGATTGCTGTTCCCTCACCAATTAATTAAAAATTATTATACATTTCAATTCCCCAAAGCGTTCTCCCAAGTTCCCAATGAAAATGAGAGGTATAATTCTTAAATATTTCAGCTTGACAAATGGCTTGATTTTCTCGAATAACTTAACAATGCCAATTAGGTATCCGATTAAGATGGTGTGGGAGTCTAATAGGAGAGATTATTGGCTACACCGGGAGTACCACGTGGGATTGGTGACGTGGTACTCCCGGCCAATAAACGCTTGCCATGTGTCCACTTAGGTTCATTTAATATATTCTATGGAAACATTTTAATCTTCTTTCTATTAATTACCTTTAATAAAAAATAATAAACAACAGTATTCGAAACCCCTGTTCTGATCCGTCAATTTCAGTTTGGGGAAGGAGAAAAGTCTCTTCCTCCCGGCTGTCGGGAAGCCACCGCCGAAGGTGGGTTAGGGTTGATGGTGGATTTGGGTTGGATATCATTACGTCGAGGAGACACAGATTCAGATCACATCGGGCTCGGGGGAACTCGACCAAAGCCTTCCCGACGGTGGTGTCTCGGCGGCTGGGAGGAAGAGGACTTCAACCTCTATTGGGTTGGTTATCATGGCATGGCGGAGACTGATTCGGATCTGATAGTGCTCGCGACTGGATCAAAGTCTTCCCGCTGGTGGCTTCTTGGCGGCTGGAAGAACAAAGGAGGAGGACGAAAGAGGGGCAGTGTTCCCGACGGTAGCTTCTCGGCGGCTTGGAGACGAAGGAGGAGGAAGAAAGAGGGCCTTAATCTTGCTCTATTTACGGGAGGAGAGAGGGACTTTAATTGATGGTAATTCACAGAAAACGAATTAAAAATTAATTGATAAATTGTAATGAAACGCGGCGGATGTTTATTGGCCGGGAGTACCACGTCACCAATCCCACGTGGTGCTCCCGGTGTAGCCAATAATCTCTCGTCTAGTAGACCAAAGCATTACAAAGTTCCTTCCTTGGCCTGGTTTAATATAGGAGGCCTCTTGCTCTTCCATTCCACAAAACTTATTTTTGGTCTGGCTTATTGTCAAAGATAAGACCCAAACAAAGGAAAAGATGAAGAAATGGGGGTTTGCTGGTTCAGAAGAATATGTTTAATACACAACCAGGAGTCTGAGGATCAATTTTTTTTTTTTTTTTTTTTGCTCTTCATGATGTATTTCGAAGATATCTTCATGATGTTTAATACACAACCAGGAGACAGAGCAGACTGTCTTACCTAGGTAACTCAGCACCTTTGTGATGCGGCGCAGCTGGAGGCTGGAGCTCAAGATCGACACGGCCCGGGAAGAGGAAGCCTTCCAGTTGACGTAGAAGCAAGCATGCTGTTGTGCTCGCTTTTCTTTATTTTATTGAATAATTATTTTAACGTTCTTTTCTGTTGATGTGACTTGAATCGGACTATCAGCCGCTACGATTGGTAATCGGGGGTCTCGCTGCCCGGTCAGCGAGTGGGGTCCAGGGGCAACGCACGGTGTATGGGCTCAATGTTATTTGGGTTCGGGTTCTGGACCTGGTCTGTAACCATTTCCTTTGCCAGATTGGATTAGGTTTAGACCCACATGGAGAAGTACTATAAATACTTCTCATACTCCTCTGTAATCTGTAATCTCCTCGATATAGTGAAATTGGCTCTCTCTCGCCCGTGGACGTAGCTAACACACATCGTGTTAGTGAACCACGTAAATCGTGTGTTGTGTTTTCGATTCTCGCTTTCGTATTCTTGCTTTGTCGATTCCGGCGATTTCCCAATCCGTAGCAGCGCGTTTATAACATTTTCTTTTCCTAAACACTTTCAGATAGGGTAAACTTGGGCCATTAGTATTTAAGGCTATTGTCATGTATCGCAAAGACAACTTTTTTTTTACTTATGAGAAAATAAAAGAACCCTATAGGGTTTCGCATAATCTGGAGGATTCCAGAGCTGTTCGTCAAGCTTGCAGCTGGCAAGCTTGTCTCCGTGAGAATTCATCGCTGGTGAATTCTTCTTTGAGATTTTCGACTGCGTCAAGTGGTATCAGAGCAGGTTTTCTCATGTTTTTTTTTAAGCTGGCACAGCCATGGGAGATCAACCGATCACGCGCGCGGACATCGAGGCTATTACCACGGCTTTTATAAATTTAATACATTTAATCTATAATAAGTAATAACATAAATCACTTCACCATATTGTGCAATTGTGCTATTACAGAACAAAAAATGCAACCCACGAAATTGGCCAATTTGCATAGTCGTACTACGTGGATGGGGAAATCTGGATATGTAAACCAAACCAAAAAGAAGCCTTTCACCACCACAAGGGTCTTCCTCTAACAGAGCAGACTTATATTCTGCAACAAATTATCCAGCAGAAGAAATAGCAACTCTGTTTATGTACCTTGCCATTGTTGCCAAGACAGCACCCCTCTGAGAACAAACTACAGCATGGAGCAGCAAGCAAGTGGGTACCAAATTTCTGCTTTCTAGATCCATATACACATCAAGGCTTCTAAATCCAGAACATACCCATCGCGGCTTCCCTCCGGCCCCTACGGTTGTAACATGGGTTCCCAGTTAGTTTCCACTGGCTTCTCTCCATGTGTCCGGTCACCGGAAATTCCAGGACCGAGTTTTCCCCCTAGTCCTACCAGTATCAGAATCTCAATTACATGTGTACCACAACAGCCAGGGATCAAAAAACATATGGAAGTTCATCATAACTTCCATCATACATGTGTTCACTTTATTATTGCATTAACAGCTTAACTATATGCATTCAATCCAAGTCTCGTTGCAGTATACATTACACCTCACAAAATCATGAGCTAATCACCCTCATTGATCATCTCAATAGCTGACTATGTTCAACATGTAAAGCTTTCTCAGAGATCAATCTACACCTTCTTACTTTACTCACTTTGATGTGGAATGTAGGACTCTGAGGATTACTGAAGAACTAGTGGGAACTACTGAACCAAAAAAAAAAGGCGGGTACCAAACAGTGGAAGAAGGAGAGATGGGGCAAAAAACACAACAACTGCAGCCTAAGCAATGTTGGTTAAAATTCTATAAATGAGTATTATGGGGTTCTTTACTTTTTTTTGGGGGGGAATCTCAGTCACGCCCTGACCTCTTTGTTTGCCGCCTTCTTATCAGCGCCAGTGTTCCCATCATCCATCAACTGTCCGGAAGGTTGTGCCTCCGTCGCCATCTGCATTTCCTTCCTCTTCTCTGCCACCAGTTTAGGACACATAAAGCTTGGTTGATTTGTTGATGACAGAAGCCTAGCCCACATTCTGTCTGTTATCACCACCTTGTTCTGTGTCTCGATGATTCTCTGATCAAAGAAAATAGCAGGCCTTAGTTAGGGGTGTCACTTGGTAGCAATACTGTGGAGGTGGAGCTGACAGAATACATGTAGCTTTGGTTTGCAGGTTCTGCAGTTTTTTTACATGTGTTCTATCTCTGTTTGCATATGAAGATGTGATGATGGCAGCATATTTTACATGGCTATCACCTAGATATGGAGAACCTTAAGAAAGCTATAGTGACTATTAGGGCATCAACTTACGTAGAAAGGTATGTATGTTTGTCGGCCATTTACAAGACCAGATGTATAGCCTGTGTACCCAGCCATTGCTCCATGAACACAACTCTGAGCGAGTAGTGTACAGTAAACATTGTCAGATGCATTGCTTGGAATAGCACGAATCATGTAAGTGGGATCTGTTCAAACAAAACAAATTTCAGTTTAGTTATCCATTGTCCAAAATTCAACTCAAGGTACAAATATACTAGCTTCCATGAAGTCCAACCTATATATTTGAGGTTTATGGACATCTTCTGTGCTTTTAGATGATCCTGCCAAACATGAAAAGAGAACTTTCAATCGTGACCACAATGTTTCACCCTACAATTACCAGCAAACATAGTCTTGGAATTGAAGAGAATGAAGAAGGGGGTGGGAAGAAGGCAAACCTTGATATTCTGTGATAACCACAGCCCAACGTCTTGGAGAAGCTTATTTCCTGAAGCGTCTGTCATTGATTTAGTCTCAGAAATGAGCTCTTGCCCAGCACCTTCAGCTACCACAATAACCATGTGCCCACTTTCCTTTAGACGTTTCTCAACGAACTCTAAAAGACCACCTTCCCCTTTCAGGAAGAATGGTGATTCTGGAATGAGGCAGCAATCTACATCTCGACTTGCAAGAGTAGCATACATGGCAATAAAACCTGCACCCAAAATCAAATTGAATGAGCAAAACAAGCCAAAGAAAGAAGTCAAGAAAAAGGAACAGTCAACTATGACAACTTCACTAAATAAAAAGTGGCAGCTTCAGCATACTACAAGGGAACTCACCACTATAACGACCCATTAACTTCACAAGACCAATGCCATTCTCTCCACTTTCAGCTTCAACATGTGCAGCATTAATAGCACGTTGAGCTTCCTCAACAGCAGTGTCAAAGCCAAATGATTTGTCGATCACCTGTTATGATTTAACCAAGTTTCAGACAGTTGATGTTTAGAAAATGATGAGTGGTTAAATAAAAAGCGTGGTTGCATTATTTGATTGGAGAAACAGATTGGCAGAGCAAAGTACAATACCGGAATATCATTATCAATTGTTTTAGGAATGCCAGCAACGACGACTTTGAGCCCCCGCCTTCTAACTTCCTGCATGTTAAAGATTTCAAATTACAGTTCCAAATAGTCTCTGGAATAAGCCTCTCAACCAGGTGCAATACTAGACAGTTATGGTTCAAAAATAGATTACCTCATATATAAGTGCAGCTCCTTTCTGTGTACCATCACCTCCAATAATATACACCTGCATTACCAAAAGAACTACATATCAACATCCATCGATTCCTGAACTCATAAAGAATCTAACAAACAAACCTGATTAATACCCATCTGTTCCATCTGGTCCACGAATAATTTTTCACAAACCTGATTAATACCCCGGTCCTCAATGCTGTCAACTATCTTTTTGGTATCATGACCACCTCGTGAAGTCCCAAGGATGGTTCCACCACGTTTGTGAATATCATTCACAACCTTAAGCGTCAGGTCTATCGTGTTTCGAGCATAGAAGCCCCTGTATCCTCCCTGCATACAAGTTTCCCATTCAGAAGTGACTTCATTAGTTAGCACCAGAGCGTTTCCAATTCTAGCCTATGGATCACAACACAGTTAAAGGCCTGCAGCTTACATCGATCCCAAGCACTTTCCTTACGCCATACATGGAATACAAGGTGGACACAATTTCTCTGATTACGGTATTGAGTCCTGGGCAAAGACCACCACAAGTCACAATACAAGCCTGGACTTCGTCCGAATCGAAGTAGACCTGTGAGACAACCACCCCCACCATAACAATGCATTAGTAAGAGAAAACATCTGCACATATCTCATTTGCTTCATCCTCGTATCCAAAAGCTCGAAATTACAATAATTTTCACCTTTTGGCGTGGTCCAGCACGCCTGAAATGGACACCCCTCGGGCTATCCTTATGAACAACAATCTATACAAAGAACAAGGGAACAGAAGAATCGCCCAATTAGAACATTCATCATTGAGCCCAGATGAAAGTACAGGAAACCAGACAGGATCCTTACTCTTTGAGGGACGGTATCATCCACATCAACAAAGTACTGCCTGCAAAAAGAAGCGGAACCCAGAACGAAAAGGTTCAATTCCAATGCAGAGCGCGGGAACAGAAACCTGGGCGAGCCATAAAAAGGAAAAGCTTCCAAATAGTTTGGGGAGAAATGGGGAAATCCCAACTCACTTGACGACGGAGTAGGCAGGATTGTCTTGCAGAGGATTGGGATGAGTCTGAAAGAAACCCCAAAAAAAAAAAAAAGAGAGTTCAAATTCCACCCCAATTTAAATTTGGTCCTCAAATTTGGCTGATGATTGAATCACTAATCCTCCCCGCAACCCAGAAAAGGGAATCAATTAAAAGTTCCCATTTTCTCAGAGACCCAATAAAGACACCGACGGATCAAGAAATCCCAATTGAAAAAACCAACTACTACGATCCATTAAATATGGGTAGAAGGAAGAAGAAGAAGAAAAAGAGCGTACTGGAAGATTGGGGAGGTAATCGGTCAAATGAGGAACATCTTCAAGAACGTAGCCATAATCGCCGTTGACGATCTTCGGCTTGAACAGGCCATTGCCGACGCCGCCGTTGGCGGTGGTGGCCTTGTTGTCAGACGCTGCTGGTGACGGTGCCGCCATGAGACGCCGGGACACGGAACTGAAATCGAGATGACGAGGACCAAAACTGAAGCTGCCGGAAGGAGAAGAAAGCCCGAGGGAGCAAGTACTGTTGGAGCAGGAGGTAGCGAGGGAGAGGATCAATGGCGACGAGTGGTGAAGAGAGAAAATCGATGAATCCATGCACCGAAAGAGGGACTGGGTGGGGAGTATTTGGAGAGGAGGCCGCCCATACTTATAGGAGAAGACTGTTGACCATCTGGAAACCAGAATGGAGCAGAGGATGAAAAAGGGGAGAAAATTTATGTAATATAATTTGAATTGAGAGAGACGAGGAGCAAACAAGAAAAAAAAAAGCTGCAAGAGGATTCTGGTTTTGGTTTTGGACCGCAGAGGTTTTGTGAATATTAGGCAAACAGATGGCGTGGAGAGCTCCGGTTTTCGAATCGTTCAACCGAGCAATTGGGTTGGGGAGAAGGAAAGTGCCACGAAAGTAAAGGGGAAAGAGGTTTGATTGATCGGTCTGTATGTTCTAGATTCTGTTATGCTCGTCTTCTGACTCAATAATTATTTTCTCGGAAAATTGTTTTCTGTTGGATTAAACGAGGGACGAGAAAATTCTCTTTTTTTCTTGACGGAGGGACTAGACAGATAGAATTGCCGTGGGAGAAAAGTCACAAGGTAAAAAGGTTAACCTCTATTAATCAATTCGCCTCAAAATTTCTTTGAAAGATTTTATTACAATATTGTAAGTGGGTTTTTTTTTTGTTGGACAAGTTTGAAATAGGGTTGTTCATAGTACGATGGCGAATAAAATCATTTTTGTGTAACATAATGTTATACGTTTTACACTTTAATTGTTGTTCTTGATTACGTTTCATCGTGGACTTTGTTTGATCTATTATTTTGAGAGAGGGAATAAAAGTACATATGCATTTTAAATGAGATGGTCGAATTTATAGTTGGCAATTCTTTTGGGGTTAATATGATGATGATTCATATTTATTCAATAACAAACAATAAAACCATCCTAATATATAACAGTGCATATCGCAAAGTCTGCTAACATAATCCATGGTGGTTTTGCTGTTGACACTAGACTAGATGACGCATCAAAGCATGCCTAATCCTATTCTATTTATAGAAAATAATAATAAATAACATAGAAAAAAAATTGATACGTACGGCATATGCCGTTGTTCTTCTAGTTCCAAAAAAAGTCACCCACCGTTTTGAAGGCCTAGGCCTACTAATTAATTAAGCTACTGAAAAAATTGATTAGTAATGCATAATTAAACAACACCAATCATACTTAACGAGTTAGTTAATTAATTAATTAATAAGAACTGTATGTTTGGATTTTACCGGCAGTGGACATGGGCCGGTCTTTTACTTCTCGGGTCCTGCCTTCTTTTTCATCAAAAAGTATACAGCTCTCCGGCTCTGTACGTAAAACGTGATCAGTTTTGCCGGTAAACGCAGATCTCGTGGTACAGTTACCTGCCAACTTATCAATGGCGCCATTCCATCTTCAAGCTGCGCCTGTGAGGCCTAATTATCTCCCGTCACCAAAAGCAAGAAAGCAGATGGGAGGTCTAAAATCTAATTAAGTATTGGAAAGCAAGGCAATCCACATGTTGGAAGACAGATTCGGCCGTAATAAAAAAAAAAAAAAAATGGATTCCCCTTGCACCGATCGTGCTCCATATTTCGTAGTGTTTTGTTAGTAATTGTGGATAAGATGCTTTTATGTGTATACGGTTAATTTGAAAAGGGAGGTGGTAATTAAACGACGGCGTTTTCCACCCGGCGGTGAGAGTTTGAAGGTTGGTTCATTTCCTTATGAGCCAGGACACGTGGAGGCTGATGAAGGATTACACGTGGCAACCCATGCGCGTGGCTTTTTTTTTTATTTTTTATTGTTTTCTTCTTCTTCATTTGTTGATGTGTGCTGCTGGAGAAATGCGCATGGGTTTTCCAGCACATCCCATGCGACTACTAGACTAGAACCATCCTTAGAATATTCCGAGTCCTCCGATCGAGTCGAACTCGGACGGACGTCAGCCCGAAAACCGAATTCAGCCATGGGTGCTTTATGTATGTTAATGTAATGTGTATAAATCGTCATTGATTTTCTTACATCACATCAGAATAGGTAATAAATCTATTGTGTCGGGTCGACCAATCCAACCGGTCAATGGCTTCGGGTCCACGTATGATTTTTTTTTTTTTTTTTGGTCATAAATAGTTTGTAATAGCGACGACCAAATAATGTGTTCTTAAAATCTCACAATTTCAGTTTGTGTGTCAAACTTCAACCTGAGGTTCAAGTCAGCAGCGTCCATGGTTTGTAGGACGAAGATTGAGTTGGGTATGGTGGTGTGATTGATGTGTTCCGTGAAAGAGAGTTCTGTAAATTAACAGAAACTTCACCCATTGATTTCAATTGCTTTAATTCAGATTTGGAATGGGTTTGAGCGATGGAAAATGATGATTGGGTTGGGAGACATAGGCCGAGGAAGATGAGGAAGACAAAACACAAAGGGCAAAAGTGACCTTTTGGTTTCTTTATAAAAAAAAAACATTGAATAGCTTCTAAACACCATATTTGACCCAAATTTCTATAGAAAAAAATCTCTAGTTTTTCAAATGAGAGATTTTGGATCCAAATTTCTAATCCAAACGACTCCTTAGGGGGAAGATGCATGCCTTGTGGCAGCAAGGGCGCTTTTTGTTAGTGTGGGACTGTAGAAGGTTGCGACATAAAATCTAGGATGTAATTTGTTGAGTTGGTAAATTTCATTGGTAATTATGGTTTCTTTGTGGTGATTTTCAATTGGTGATTTGGTGAGCTGTGCAACAAAGGATGCAACACAAAACCTAAAAGCTGCTTTCTTGGAGGAAGTATGGTTTTCTATAAGGCTTCTCTTTCTCTTATCTAATGTTATTTACTTATTTTGATCCTTAGAGCTTTGAAAGGGCTGTAAATGTAGTGATCAAACATATATTTTCATCACAAGCTGGTCTATTCAGTGGCGGACGCAAGATTTGAAAGTACCTCTGTTCTCTTTTCAAAATATAAATATATAATTAATTAATATAATTGAAACTAATAATATTCAAATAATTCATACATAGATATAGAAATAATCGACTAATATAATTACTGTTTGCATAAACAACCACGACGAGTTTTCATATTTTGAAAGAAATGCAAAATACATTTGTTGTTTACACTCTTAAATAAGTCTCTTTTAATGTATCCCACTAAACAATCATTAGAAAACTGATAACCAATTCGACTTCGAAACTTGTTTGTAATATAAGTTCAAGCTAAAAATGCTCTTTCTATACCTATAGTTGCAATAGGTAGAATCAAAACTAGTTTTAAAAGCAAATAAATTGATGGATATGAGTGTTGCACTTTGTCTCCATCAATACTCGAGACAATTTATTATGAACAACCTATTGTCGAATAATAATGTTATGAATGAAACCGATAAATTAACTAATTTTTCCTGTCATGAACAAATTATGAGTTATGATGTAGTAGTAAAACATCCTTATATTCATTGTAGGTGTGATATTTTTGTTCCTCCCCAAATTTTACTCATGTCCCGTGACAAAGGCAAATGGTGCTCCCTCCACCTATGCGTCTATCCATTTCATCAACTATCATGTTTGGTTACTTAGTATTTGATAATGTTTTGCTATCTATTTCTCGGTCTTGGATGATCTATGTGGGGAAAAAATCCAACATGGTGACTAGGTGACTTTGATAGAAAATGGATGAAAGTGATAGAATAAATAGGGATGGCAACAAAACCCGAATTCGCGGGTACCCTACTCGAGCCAATCCGGTCAACGCGGGTAAAATCCGTGTTGACGAGTTTTGGGTCGGGTTCAGGTTTAAACTCGTTCACTATTCACCGGGTTGGGTTGGGTTTGGGTTTAGGTAAATCCTCCCCATGGGTATCCGCCCACACTCATATAATTAATTTTTCCGGTATGTTTAATATTCTAAACAACTAATCTTCTTCATGGACAATTTGTATTAAGAGATTGATATTTAACTTTTATTTTGATAGAAACTTGTTATTGTAATTTTTTTACGACAAAAACCCATGGGTACCCATGAACCCGCGGATACCCAGCGGGTTGGGTTGGGTTTGAGTTTTTCAAACCCAGTGGGTTTTACCCCAGGTTTTTTTCACGAATAAACCCATGGGTTTGGGTTTGACAAAACCCGACCCAACCCGACCCATTGCCGTCCCTAAGAATAACCAGTTCATTACACTGGGACACTTATATATTAGGGTTTTTTTATAGGAACTTATATATTAGGGTTTAATTGCTTTTTTATACAAAATATTCCAAAATTGAACAAGGAGATACATAAAATGAAGAAAATAGTGGTAATCATCTAGTAATTGAACCATGGATAATGTTTGAACCTAACTGAGTGTAGGAGTGAGGTTCGGGTAAGAGTTTGGGTCAAGAAGAAACACGAGCGTCGGGTTTGATCGGAGGGGGAAGGAGGGGAGAGTCAAGTGAGAGTGAGCTCCAGGACTTTTAGAGAGAGAAGTAGTTGTTATAGAGCGAGAATGACTAAAAATGCGATCCCCTCACCCACCGTAGTAAATGCCATATTTATAGGCTTCATGGTGGTGGGTGAGTGGTTGACCCAAGTGGGGATACAAGATGTGACCATTGGGATACAATGATGTGACCACTGGCACACTAAGGGTTTTCGGCCCTGTCCAGGCCATCCCTCTACCTAGGACGTGTCAGAGACCTGCCAATGACCCTGATGTGACTACTTCCTGGGGAGGAAAGCTACGCTCCCCTCCTTTCTTGGCTTAGCCTGCGCCATGCTCTCCCTCGGCGCCTGTAACTCGCATCGCGCCTAAACTCCTCGCGCCAGGACGTGGTTGACTGCGGTGAGGTGTCGCGCTCGGGGTCTTTGCGCTGCCATGTCGGAGTCCATCCAGTCGCGCCCTGTTCCTTGACGTGGCTAGGCCCGAGTCACATGCCCAACAATTGCCCCCCATCAGGGGGTGTTTCGTGAACACCTCCTGTTTGGATTTTTTCTTGACTGACTCGGGCCTGTGTGATCCCCGTGAGGCTGGTCTTTCGGGCTTATTCCGCTCGTCTACTCCGCTTGTCTCGATCGGTCGGCTCCTGCGCGTGCTCGCGTTTGGGTTCTTCATCGCGCGCGGTATTACGAAACAGTGACGCGTTTGATGATGGCGCGCGCTCGCACGCTCGCGATTGGGCTCTTCACCGCGCTTGTAATAGGGCTTGGCTCGCTGCGCGCGATGTGTGCGGCGTGTAGGGCACGTCGCGCGCCGACTGTTGGGATTCGTTCGCCTCGCGCGATACCCGGTACTGCGCGAAGCGTGTTTTTCTTTCCTCGTGGGTATGTCCTGCCCCCCAGGCGGTGTGCGGCACTTGTGGCGTCGCCGACTAGTGCCTATGCTGGTAGGTATCCACGTGTCATTGTGTGGTTAGGCTATTTGGGCGGGGATTTTTTGAATTTCGAAAAGATTTGGTAGGATCTGACGGTTACGGATCCCTATGTGGCTTTAACCCTTCGCATTCCGCTGGCCGACATTGGCCCTTTGCTTTCCCTCTAACCCACTATAAAAACAGGTTGTTGTGGGGAGGAAGGGTTCATCT